TTAGTACACAGAATTATATCTTCTTACTTTTTTGAATAATATCTAAGCAGGTTTTACCATTAAATACAAATTTTATATAATTTTCAGACATTATTTATACATTTGTCATAGTTCACCTGTACAAAGAATTATATCTAATTATTATTTGTCTAGTTAATAAACAAACTGTACGTTTTTCTATTTTCTTCACAAATCAATTAACACGCGAATCTTCAATTTAATTAGAACTCAAACACATTTACATTTACTTATTGTTATTCAAAATATGCTATACGTAACATAGTTGTTTATCCAAAAAAATAGAACATATAAATACAGATCTAATAATAATAATAAAAAACCGAACACTTTTATACATGTACAAAACAACAAATATAATTAAAACCAACAATTCATAATTAAAATAAACAAATCAAAATTAAAACCAATATGATGAATTTCACTTTCTACCATGTTTAATTAATATCGACACAATGTTCTCCATCAAATAAAATCAAATTATTTTCAACGCCAAAATTTATTCAACTACTAATAAAAAACGAAACTAAAATTTGCAAATCTCAAAAGAATCGTGAACTTCTGAAAAACAAAATGACTTGTAAGTTCATGCCAATCTGGTAGAGCTTTTTAATGAATTAAATAAAAAAATTAATATCATTTAAACTAATTTGAGAGAATTAAGGCAACTAACTAATCTAAAAAAATTTAAAGTCCCTTAAAACGTGCTAATTTATTAACAATAATTGATAATTATACTTAATTTATTTAATAAAAGATCCCATTTTCCATTATTAATTTGTTTGTTTGTTTAATTTATTTTAACAACTCTTTTTAATAATTTAAAATTAACATTATATATATTTTAAAAATGTTATAGCTTGAGATATTAAATGTTATACAACGAAATTCAAACTCTATGCTACAACTTGAGAATATTACTATAGAAAATGTTATACACCTAATTTATACTTTTAAGAATTACCCAAAATTCTTGATTTTTGTGTGTGTTATATACCCATTGATCTTGCATTAAGAGCACCCAAAATTCTTTTCTCAAAAAATATCACGAGTACCACCTTAATGAGTTTGGGAACCACCACGTGTACTCATAACATTTTTTAACGTCTATTTTCACACTTACATTACTTTTTCGATATACTAAGAAGAATTCTTGATTTTTCGTGTGTCCCATGAATACGGCACCCCGGGGCACCCAAATTTTTTTCTCAAAAGAAAAAACTCTATGAGGACCAACGTAATAAGTTGGAGAATCACCACAAATACTCATACATTTTTTTAAATTCCTTTTCCCCTTTTTACAAGCCCTTATTTAGTAATTACCCAAAATTCTTCTTAATTTTTCATGTGTTATATATAGCCAATGGATCTGGCGTCTCGGGGCACCCAATAAAATTATGAGGACCTCCGTAATGAGTTGGGGAATCACCGAATATTCTCATACCATTTTTATTGTCTTTTTCTGCATTGACAAGCCCTTTTTACCCAAAATTCTTGATTTTTCATGTGTTATACCTAATGGATTTGGCGCCCCGAGGCACCCAAAAAAAGTTTTTCAAAAATTTTTATGAGGACCTCCGTAAAAATTTGAGGACTCACCACATATATTCACACCATTTTTTAAACGCATATTTCCGTATCAAAACTAAAAGAAATAAGAAAAATATATTGAATCATATGACTATTACTTAACAAATTACTACTAGCCATTTATTCGATCAACATTGTTCGAATGATTTTTTTTTAAAGTAGAGAGAATCTACATATTTTCATTGTTTTATATTGGCAAAACAATGTTCATATCTTTTTTTAGCATCTTAATTGTATAAATATTTGAATTGCTACTTTTATACTTCCTAAAGAACAAGGACCAACAAAAATGACAACTTTTCCGAGCATTTGTTAACTGTTTATTCAAATAGTATGACAAAATATCGTGCTATATATACAATATTATTTCGTCTCAATTCATATGGTATCGTTAAATTTGACATAATTTATTTTTTAAAAAATATACTTTTGAAATTTGTGGTGTAAAACATATCTTAGATATTTCTCTTACAATGAATCATTTCATAAAGGTTAAAAGTTAAATTATTTTTACTACCTCTCCTATGTGCTTTGTGAGCTATTGCACAAGATCGAGATTTTACCATGTGCCCACTCAAAAAAAATTTAATTTACAACTGACAAAAATTAATTCCAAGAATAACGATATAGAGAATGGAGAAATGTAACGTACAATTACAATTTTTCAAAACTACCTTTAAGAAATGAACTTTTCTCAAATAAGTGAGACCTAATATGTGCATAATTAATAATTTGAGATAAACTTTATGAGGACCCAAAATTATTTTCGGAGCACCCAATTTTTTCTTTAGAAAACTTTTTTACGAGGACCTCAGTAGTTAGTGGGGAATTTTATCAAGTAGACTCACATAGTTTTTTTTAATACATATTTGCATTTACATGTCATTTCTTAGAAATTACGCAGATTTCTCAGTTTTCGTATGCATTATCCCATAATTTAGCATCAAAGCGCCCAAAATTTTCGCAGAAAAAACTTTATAAGGAATTCAAAAAAAAAAAGGTGTGAGTATTGCAATTAGTATTAAGAGTAGATAAAACTTTAAAATTGTGGACATAATTTGAAAATACTAAATTTTGAAATGCAAATAAAATATTCAAAAAAGTTAGGATTTTGATTTTGTCTTCACTATATCAAACACCTAATCTAATCTATTTTAAACCCATCTTAAAAACAAGAGATTATCTTTGTCATTTTTTTGTTGACTTAAGTCATCCACAATCACTTAAACTTGTCCGCATATTTCACTTAGACACCTCAACTAAGAGATGTACGTATTGAACACCTCTTTTGTTCAAACATATACCCATTAGATACTTTTTAATGATATGACATTACATGTGTAGTACACACCTCAAAAGCGCGTGGAACCAATAGCAAAAGTCTGATACTAGAAAGGAAAAATAAGATGAATACAGAACCTCGAGGCGCCGTGCCCCGAGGCCCTGCCCCCCACCCCACCCTCC